CCTAGAGCCTTAAAGTGTGTCTTTGTTGGTTACTCACCCACTCAAAAAGGGTATAAATGCTACCACCCCCCATCCAAAAAATTCTTTGTGTCTAGGGATGTTACCTTCAATGAACAAGAGGGCTATTTGCATCAACCTTATCTTCAAGGGGAGAGTTTCAGGGAAGATAAGGAAAGTAGTGATTCTGGTTTTCCCATTCTTTCAGACTTGACATTTGAACCTAAACGAAATCATATTGAAAGTAGTAATTCTGGTTGTCCCATTCTTCCAGACTTGATATTTGAACCTAAACAAGATCAAATTGAAGATCAAATTGAAGTTGTAACAAATGAAACAAGTCAAGGAATTGGTCAAGCAAAAGAAGTTGGTCAAGAAAGTGAAACTAATTGTGAAACTGATCAAGAAGATGTTGAAACTGGAAAATTTGGTAAGAAGCTGGTGTACTCAAGGAAGACTAAGGCCATTCCAGGATCAAGCCATGTTCAAGAATCCAACTCGACTCCACAAAAAGAGGTAACAATTTTTTCTCCAGCATGTTCAAGAATCCAACTCGACTCCACAAAAAGAGGTAACAATTTTTTCTCCAGCTGTGCAGGTTGAAATTGAAACCCAAAATGATCCTGACCTCCCAATTGCCATTAGAAAAGGAACAAGAAAATGCACCAAACAACCACTCTACCCTCTCTCAAATTACCTGTCCTTTAAAAATTTCTCTCCTACCCATAAAACCTTCCTAGTAAACCTAAACACTGTACTTCTACCTAATTCCCTATCTGAGGCATTGTCTGACAGAAAATGGAGGCAAGCCATGGATGAAGAGATGGAGGCATTGGAGAAAAACAACACTTGGGAGTTAGTCACCTTACCAATAGGAAAGAGGCCAGTTGGATGTAAATGGGTCTATACTATGAAATACAAGGCTGATGGATCAATTGAGAGATATAAGGCAAGACTAGTTGCCAAAGGGTTCACCCAAACCTATGGAGTTGATTATTGGAGACCTTTGCTCCGATTGCCAAAATGAACACAGTTAGGGTGATATTGTCCCTTGCTGCCAATTATGGTTGAAACTTGGAACAATTTGATGTTAAGAATGCTTTCCTACATGGAGACCTTGAAGAAGAAATTTATATGGAGATACCTCCGGGATATGGTAAAGATGTTGCTACCAACACTGTTTGCAAGTTGAAAAAGGCATTATATGGGTTAAAACAGTCCTCCCGTGCATGGTTTGGCAGGTTTACTAAGTTATGACAGGTCTGGGTTACAAACAAAGCCAAGGGGACCATACTTTGTTTTTTAAACATTCCAAGTCAGGGGGAGTAACAATATTATTGGTGTATGTGGATGACATAATATTAATTGGAGATAATAAAGAAGAGCAACAATTATTGAGTCAATGCTTAGGCAAGGAATTTGAGATCAAGACTTTGGGAAAACTAAAATATTTTTTGGGAATTGAAGTTGCCCACTCCGAGAAAGGGATATTTATATCTCAGCAGAAATACATCACTGATTTGCTCAAGGAAACTGGCAAGGCAGCTTGCAAACCTGCTAGTACCCCATTAGAACCAAACCTAAAGCTTGGAAATGCAGAAGAAGATGTTGCTATTGAAAAAGATATGTACCAAAGATTAGTGGGTAGACTTATATATTTATCACATACCAGGCCAGATATTGCCTATGCAGTGAGTTTAATTAGCCAATTTATGCATAGCCCAAAGGAGACCCATTTACAAGCTGCCCACAGAATTTTACAGTACCTTAAAGGAACTCTAGGAAAAGGGATTCTATTCAAAAGGAATGGTAATGTGAAACTTGAAGCCTATACTGATGCTGATTATGCAGGGTCAATTGTGGATAGGAGGTCAACTACAGGATATTGCACCTTTCTTGGAGGAAATCTTGTGACTTGGAGAAGCAAAAAGCAGGGTGTAGTGGCTCGGTCCAGTGCTCTGAAGCGGAATTCCGAGCCATGGCATAAGGTATATGTGAGTTGCTATGGCTTAAAATCATCTTAAAAGACTTGAGGATAAAGTGGGAAGAACCTATGAAGCTCTATTGTGATAATAAGTCAGCAATCGAGTATAGCCCACAACCCAGGTGCAAGCATGATAGAACAAAGCATATTGAAGTAGACAGACACTTCATCAAAGAAAAGCTTGATAGTGGCTTGATATGCACTCCATATGTGTCCTCTCAAGACCAAATTGCAGACATTCTTACCAAGGGACTGGGCTGCCATAATTTTGAGAAGATTGTATCCAAGCTAGGAATGAAAAACATCTATTCACCAGCTTGAGGGGGAGTGTGAGAAATCAAATAGTATTTTAGGAAATATAATAACTCTATTTTATGCAAAGATCCCTTGATTTATAGGATTCAGATATGAAGGAGTTTAGGTCTCTTGTATATATCTTATATCATCTCTTTGTATTGATATAATAAAATAAATCATATTTCAGTTAATCTATTTTTCAAGATGGTATCAGAGCCAAAAGCCTAACATCTTTCCGGTTATTGTCATGGGCCAAAAGTTGCCCTTTAGTTGGGTCAAAAGTACCCTTTGCCTGGTCCGGCAGGCTTCGTTGGAGGGGGTGTGTTGAAAGTCCCACATCGCCTACCTCATATCATTTGGTATGGTTTAAATACATGTTAGGCTACTCCACATATAGCCAATTGGTTTTATGTTGGAATCTTAACAGGCTTCAAGCAAATAGACTTCTCATTTGTGAGCTCAATTTTATGATCATATTTCCTGTTAGGTGGTAATTGAGTAGGTTCAACAAACAAGCTACTGTATTCTTGTAACAGGTTCTCCAATTCCAGCTGCTGTTGTTCATCCAAGTCACTAGTATTTTCAGGTATTATGATGTTAAAACAGAGAGGACCAATGATAGGAAATAGCATTGCCTGAATATCAATTGCTTTAAGTTTTCCACTATCCTGTAGCAGTAACTTGTTCTGCGTCTCTCCTTGTAATGTTATAGTGTTCCCTTCATGCTGGAATTTCATGGTTAACTTAGCACAATTCCAAGCAATTTCACCCAATTGTTCGAAACCATTGCATGCCAAGGATTATGCCGAATGTTGTGCCCGGTAATACTAGAAAATCTGTTGTAAAACTGTGTGCACCAAATTTCCAAGTTAGCTTTTCGCATTTCCTTGAGATCGTAATAGGTGTGTCACTAGCAACTACAACTGGAAAATCTTTAACAGGTTGAGTTTTTAAGCTCAGTAACTTCACCCACTTAGCACTGATGAAGTTATGAGTGCTTCCGGTGTCCATTAGGAAAGGTACTGCCTGTTTTTTAATGAGACCTTGCAACTGAAGTGTGTTGCCACCTGCTATACCCCTCAAAGCATGTAAAGAAACATGCACATTATCACTATGCAGCATTGCTAAACTGTTTTCTACTATAAATTCATCATTTTCATCTTCACTAACATCTGTGTTTTCTTGATTGAAGTTTTCTTGGGCACAAAAAATCGCATTTAATTTTCCCCAAACTTTACATCTCGATCTATGATTTTTCTCCCACTTTTCACCACAAAATCTACACAATCCTTTGGAGATTCTCTCACTAGCCTCTTTTGTAGATGAAATAGAAGTTGAGCTTCCCTTAGAGTCCGGATAAGCTTGATTAGTAGTGGAATTCTGAGAGTGATTTTGTAGTGTTGTGATGGGTGGATTTCTGGATGTGAATGGTTGATTAAGCCATGGTCTTGTGTAGCGAGGTTGCACATTGGAAGTTACTGATTTCTCTGTAGAGATCTTTTTGTCTAATTCTTTATTAATATCATCCTGTAATCGTGCTAGACGTATTGCTTCTTGGATGGATTTGGGGTTATGAAGACGAACTGATTTCTCTAAATGGCTTTCCAAACCTGCGAGGAAGAAATTGAGAGCCATGCCTTCAGAGATCACCACACGCGCTAGCAAAGAATCAAAATTTTCAAAATATTCAGGCAAAGATTCTTGTTGCCGTAAGCGCGAGATTTCAGCAATAGGGTCATCGTAGGTTCCATCATCAAATCTGTTTCCTACGTCAAGCAAGATATCGGTCCAAGATTTCGACCTGAAGCTGGGGTTTTTGATGTAATGTTGTTGCCATGCAAAGGCGTTACCTTCCATGGATAAAGCAGTTTCCCTCTTTGGTTCACTGGTGTTCCTTCTAATTCAAAAAATTGCTCTGCCTTGGCTCGCCAAATCCTAAAGTTTGTGCCATCAAAATTGGGAAATTGAAGTTGTGCGCGATGTAATACTGACGTAGTAGATTCGCTTTCATCGTCGTTTGGAGGTGGAATGTTGGTTCCCACTGTTAACGCCGCCACGGAAGCTGCTAGAGTCTCCATAGTTTTCTGCATTGCCAGCAATGTCTTATTCGTTTGTTCTTGTGAATCTGCAAGAGATTTCTCAAAGGATTCCACACGCGTTTCGAGTTCCTTGTTGGTCACCATGATCGTTGTCTTTCAACTGATACCAATTGTAAAGAAATATTTTTGCCTTTCCCTACCTCTCTTTTCTCTGATGAACAATTGTAAAGAAAGATTCTTGCCTTTCCTTACCTCTCTCTTCTTCTCTGATGAACAAAGATGAAAGAGAAACAAACTTCTTTTTTAATTTCTGAATGATGATTGACTTTACAAAAAATTGTTTATTTATAGTCTCTGGTCCCTAGGAATCTTATCTAATTTCCACTTTTATTTCGGAACTAACTATTAAAAGATAAAACAGAATTTATAATAAAATGACATATGACAGGTAACCACTTGGGTTATTTTAACTCCTATCTCAGCTGCTTCACCAAGTGTAGTTTTTGTCATCAGCTCTTCATTCCCTACCCAGGTTCTACTTGGTAATAGATAAATGAAAATAATATTGGGTTATGAAGAAATATGCATATTGTGCATCTGTATGTGTTATTCTTGTAAATGTTTTCTTTATCTTCTGAAATGGCTAGCTGTTTGGGAAGAGGCTGGATAGATTCTTTTTCTCCATGGATCTGCAGGACTTCCTTCTCCGTGCTCGAGTTTTGAGGCTTTATAGACAAGCATTGAGAATTTCTAGTCGAGCCCCTTCTTCTGCCAGAGGTGAATATTCTTAATTATGTGGCTCATTCCTTTATACAAGTCAACATTCTCCTGATGCTATATATAATTATATATTGTTTTACAATGAAAGTTAACAAAGATTCAGGAAGATGTGTTTCTCAACTGTTTGTTAATTGAAGTTGGCAAAACTGAAAGGATAATTTTGGTTCACAGTTTTATAATTTCAGTGATACTTTCTTAGTGTTGTGCCATTCCGTGGTGGTCTACAGGCTAAATGTACTATCAATTATTTAGTTTCTATTGGATACAAAGCTAAAAGAGTTTCTAAGAACCTTTATAATAGAAACATGGAGCTTTTTTCAGTATAAAACTCAAAACATGTTTCTAAACAGACTCGTTACCTTGTCAGGAGGAATAAAGGCATGAACCCCCATGTGTCCCATTTTTGAGACAGTGGGATACAGTCATAGAGTAGAAGTTTTCCTATATTAAAGAAGAGAAGTATTTGTAAATCTATGTTCCTTAGAATTGTAAAGAAATCTTGTTGAATAATGTATTGTCATAAAGTGCTTGATGGAAATTGAATGCATAATGAAGATTTTTGAAGAGTATTAAATTGTATTAGTGTAGTATTTATGTTTGTAACTCATATCACATTCTAAGAGTTATTTTCAGTTTTTATAATATTTTGAATGTGATACAAAATGTAAGAAGAAAAAAAGAAGAAAGAAATATTAAAAATAGAGAATAATTCAGTCATCAAATTATCTTGTTATTTTAAAACATTCTATACAATCATACATAAAAGGAAAGTTTTTGAGTGTTATGTCAACATCACCTTTAGAATATTACCAACAAACCTCTTCTTAAAGAAAAACATATTGAGAGCAAAATCAACAAAAAAAGCATGAGATACTTTTCAATAAGAGTATGAAGGAGATTCAAGACAATTAAACTTTAATAGAATGTATGAATTGGTAAATCAGATGAACTCTATGGAGATACAATCCATGATAGAAGAGTTGTTGATAAAATTCTTATTAATTTGTTGACTTGTCAAAAATGGTTGTTTAAGAATTGAGGGGATCACTTAGATCATATAAGCAAAGATTGTTGCGTCATGTTGAAAAGTTAGTTGAAAGAGTTTTTCAATCTAAGCTCATAGTTTCATCTCAAAAAGATGAACCAATAAATATTAGTGAGTCTTTTAGAAGGGACAAATTGGAAGAGGCATAGAAAGAGGAAGAAATCTATGTGGAAGAGGAAGAAGCGACTATGGTGGGAGAAAAAATAACAAGGGATCAAAAAATTGTGTGAAATTTGTAAGAACAACCATGAAAAAAAAAAAGGTTGTTGGAATAAAGGTAAACCACAATGTTGTAATTGCAAAAAAGTTTGGACACATTTAAAAAGATTGTCACTCCACAAATCAGTAACACAATTCACTTGTTGAAGCAGAAAATAATGAAGAAAACTTATTCATTACTTATCAAAAGATAACTCAAGAGCATAAAAACATATGGTATTTGGACAACAACAATCATATGATTGGAGATGGAGAAGCTTTTATCAACATGGATTGTTAATTTGCCTCAAAAGTTAAATTAGGTAAGGGAGAGCATGTGGAAGTAAAAGGTAAAAGCAGTATTAGAGTTACAATAAAGCAAGGAGGAAAGGTAATTTATGGTACACTTTATTTGGCAAAATTAGATGAAAATTTGTTGAGTATTAGACGCACTTAAGGGGTAAAGATAATCAAAGAAGTATTAGAATTGGTGCACATATGTACTTTATTAAATGACTTAACTTGCATGACATGAGTTTATTTCACGGGAAAAAAATTGAAGTATTTGATGTATTTAAAAAGTTTAAATCATTGGTTAAGAAATAAAGTGATGTGGATTATAACAATCTTGAGAAGTGATAAGGACAAGAAGTATGTTTCTAATGAATTTAAAAGATTTTGTGAAGATGAAGGAATAAATAGACAATTGACTATTGGTTATACACCTTAATAAAATAGTTTATCTGAGGAAAAATCAAACTGTGATGGAGATAGAAAAATCCATATTTTTGGAGAAAAATGTTAAAAAGAATTTTAGCTTGGGGTTATTATTAATACAACAGTTTACCTGTCAAATAGATGTCCCACAAAAATTGTTTGAAATAAAGCATCATTTGAAGCATTAATTGAAATAAAGACTTTAATAAATCACCTTAAATTTTTTGAATGTGTTAGCTATGCTCAAGTTCCTAAACAAAACAGGGTAACATTTGAAGAATTAAGTGTGAGATGTATCTTTATTGGTTATAGTTCAATGTTTAAAGGTTATAAACTTTATCTGTTGAAGACTAAGAAGGTGATCATTAGTCAAGGTGTTAAGTTTGATGAGAAGATTTTATGGAATTGGCAAAAAGAAATGGTGGAAGACAAAATAAATTTAACAATAAGTTTGCAGCATGATTCAACGCTTGAAAATGAGGAATTAACCTCAAATACAACAAATTTTTTGTCTTCATCAAGTTTTTCAAGTTCAAATTCAACTTCTTAAAAACTCAAGAGTTTGAGTGATATTTATATAAAGAGTAATTACTGAGTCTGTGTTAGAAAACTATGAAAAGGTAATTAAAGAAGAAACTTGGAAGAAATTCAAGCAAGAAGAAATTTATGTAATTGAAAAGAATAAGACATGAGAAATAACTGAGAAACCAAATGATAAAATGCTATTGGTGTGAAGTGGATGTAGAAAAATAAAGCATAATTCAGGTGACTCAATAAATAAAAAGAAGTTCTAGGAGTTCAAGAATAAGACATTAAGGGGAAGAAGTTGAATAATGTGTTATCAGAGTGCTTAAAGGAGATTGAATACATAGTGAAGACCTTTTAAGAGTATTGAATTGTATTGATATATATTTTTAACTCATATAACATTGTAAGAGTAATCTTTATAATATTTCCCATTGTAATACAAAATAGAAGAAGAAAAAAAAAGAGAGAGAAAAAAAGAAATAATTAAAATAGAGGACAAATTAGTTTTCAAATTATCTTTCTTTGGTTCAGAAATATTATATACAATCTTATACAGAGTAAATTACTTAAGTGGTATATCAACGTCACCTCTAAAATACCATTAACGAATATAGACATAAATATGGATTATATATATGAATTCATCTAAGTTTCAAGTTGTCCAAAAGGACGGTGTTTTCTTCTTAGATTTTAATTTTCATTATACAACGAGAATTACACGGTGTTGTTAAGAATGTATGTAAAATCATAATGCTTTCTAACAATGGCATAAAATAGAAAACCCAAATAAATTTTGAAATCTATGGTTATCACATATGTTCTGAGGAGAAAGAAGAGAAGATGTGAATCTTTTAAGTGTTGTAGAGTGCTTTCTTTATGAATTAATTAAATAATTTGAGATAAGAACAAGATTTCACTGCTTTGATCTCTTATTCTATTTCTCTTATCTTGGATGGTAAAGAGTACGTTTAGGTCAGGAAGGGGAAGATATTAACTTCTTTAAAACTGTTATTCGATATTATCAAATATTGTTGTTATTTTATCTATTTATCATTGAGTCATTTATTTATTTAACTAGTTACGTGAGACATAAAACTTATATAAATATTAAACATTTTCTACATATGCACATAAGTTTTATGATATTGATTGATATAATGGACTGTACAGATGAACTGAGACAGACACTCAGACAAGAGATGGAAAATAATAAAAACTGTAATGACAAGCAAAGGATCCGTTATTTGATTAGTGAGGGATTGGATAGACTGAAGCGATTGGATGAAATGCTTGATATGCAAGGTCACTGATGATGAGTAAAGCTATTGCATGAAATGCTTGATATGCAAGGTCACAGATGATGGAGTAAAATGTTAACTTAGTTCATGAATGATGTATGATAGGAGTAAAATTGTGATTTAAATTCCCTGATGATTAATAAGTTTATTTGATGATTATCCCTTTCATTAGGGAGATTCTTTGGTGAATTATATTATTGATTACGGGTTGAAAAATATTTTGATTTAGATATATTATTTATCTACGAATTCTTAACCAAAAAATAATATTTCCCCGCCACCATTCTATCAATCCTGTTTGGCTATTCTTTTTATTGTATGACACTAAAGAATTTTATATGTAGAAGAGATGAACTCGTGCTTTTTAACTCCTCGCATTAGTTTAAATGTTTTTACCTATTTATTTTTATTTTTATTTTTCATGTCTACAAATATTAAAATAACTGCTCTTTAGCCTTTATAAAATTTGTAAATTTTTGCTTTAATTCTTGTAATTTTTTTTGTTTATTTTTATCTTTTTGAAATTTTTCGATCACTATTTTTAATTCTTAATGTTCATTATTTTATCGATCATAAAGTTTTTAAGTATTGAAATTATATCACGATGCAAGTAACTTGATCTTTTATTTAAAATATAAATAATTAATTAATATCCTATATTGATAAAAAGTAATGATTTCCAATTTTAAAATGAAAAAAACAATTAAGGGTAGAAAATTCATGAAAAAAAAATCAAATTTGATTTATTAATCAAGTATTCAAAATTTATATTAAGAAAATATTATTAAATACACAAATTATATTGTCATTAAAATTTACAATAAATAAATGCTTTTTAATTTATAAATTTTATTTTTAAATTATTTATATTTTATTGTACCACTTTTTCAAATGAAAGATATGATAAAAGTTGATAAAATTTCAGATATTTTTTTATTGTAATTAGTTGAAGTAATAGTATTGTAGAATAATATTTGCAATATTTCTAAAATTGTAGTGTAACAAAAAAAATATAACAAAATCAGAGTACATTAAAGAATACACATGTAAAGGTGGATTACATTATGCATATCTATAACTATATACCATTAGAGATAGCAGAAACAAGTTTTTATACTTGTCAACACCATACTTTTTTTCAAAAATAAAAAATAATAATAAAAAAGAAAGTTGTAGAAAACATACCTGTTCTTAGAAAAGGATAAATGAACGGGTTTGGCACAAAAACTCTTCTTGCCCCAAATCTTCATCCTTCACTTCTTGGCCAAATACTCTTCCAGTCTTCCCATACGCTCCATTCCTCAATAACATTGTACGCCTTTATCCCTCGGTAATGCTACACGTTCAAGCGGTTAAATGCAATCAGTGTCTCAAAAGAAATGTTAAATTTCTTTTGTTGCACATATTCCATCAAGTAACATTTTTATCTTTTGGAAGTTGTGAATACATACATTTGTCTGACTCATATATATATATATATATAGGTTATGTTATTTTTCTTATTGAATTACTTTTGGATCTAAAGTTTTTTTTTTATTATTTAAAGGTTACGATTTTGTAAAAAGAGTTACTTTTTTTTATGGGTTCAATATTATCCTTTTTTACCATGATTAAGGTTCTATATTTGTTTATACCTGTTTCACTGTAGTATTATATAATCTTATTTACTCATTTGCTTTAATCTAAAGATTTCCCATTAAAAGGTTATCAATTTCCAATTTTTATTGTGTTTACTTTCAATATTGTAATCAAGAGTAAAGTTGAAATTTTTTTTCCTAAAAAGTTACTTTTTTGTTATCAAGATTAGGGTTTAACATTATCTTCTTTGACCATGATTAGGATTCTATATCTGTTTATACCTGTTTCAATATAGTATTATGCAATCTTACTTACTAATTTGCTTTGATATAAGGTTTTTCCATTCAAAATTATTGGGTGGCAAAGCTTGGTGGAAGCCCAACCTAGAGGTATAAAATTAGGGTTTAATAGTATTTAGCTTTGCATTTACTTATGGGTTAGGCTTCAGTCAAATATATGTATTTATGGTTGACTAAAAAATTGCAGTTTTTTAGATCATGAGGGGAACACAGGGAGCCAGATGCACGAAAATGGTAATATATATCTTCAGTTTGTGTTGAATTATTGGCAAGCGTACCAAAATAATCAATCGCAGTATAGAATTTCGATTAAATAAAATTCGATCCTACGAGGAACGGTTTCAATGGAAATTCTCAATTATATGCTTACTAAGTAGATTAAAACAAAATGAGTTTTGCATAAAGAGTTGAATTGAATTTAAATGAAAAAGAACGGTAAATTGTTTAGAAAAGATCAATTAAAGGCACTTAAGATTGACTTCTTTTCTTATCCCTCTTTTGCAATGACTATGTCAATTGAGAACATCAATTAACCTAACAATGTTGATGTCACTTACTCAAATCATCCAAGTTGATTTCTCACACATGAAATTCATAAGAAAACCTAATAAATGTTGATTTCAAACACAATTAAG